CACTCGGAGTCCCGCGCTCGTGCTCGAGTGACTCCCACTCTTCTGGATTTTATATAGAGTCGTGCACTTCAGTTTGCTTTTAAAACTCAATGAAAAATACAAGTAGAAGACCTTTTTCACGGCCTTTTCTAATTTCTGTCCGGAAGTAGTTTAAACTTTAAAACGGACGATGGTTGGGATCCGGTAAATTCCCACCGCGGAGAAGTAAAACAGGCAAAAGTCAACCGATTGCTCGGGAGGTCTTCTTCGCTGCTTTTTGTCGTATTTTTGTGGCAGAAGTACAGCGCCACTTACAGCCCCGGGCAGATAGTGTACTACATCGTCTCCAGCGGGTCGGTGGCTCTGCATGTGAAACGGTACCACGTCTTATTGAAGCCGATTGCGTGTTGGACGGAAGGACTTTTTTGATACTGCGAATGTGCGGTTCATGTCTTGTTTCCGTCTCCCGTGTAAACGGGGCTAAAACGAGTATTCAATGTTTAGTTCAGATAGTCCACGTCAGAAATTGTTCTGTGCTTGCATGATGTTGTCTATCTCCATAGAGCAGTGGGTTCTCAAAGTGGGGGGCGCAGAGATATGGATGACAGGGGGGGCGCGAGAGGACCAGGAGGAAAAAAGGTTATACAAAAGAAAATAAAGATTTTTAAAATCATAATTTTTTAAATATTGATCAAAAAATAATATAGATACAGGTACTACTTACGTCTGGGTCTCTGTGTTTCATTAAGCTCGGTCTCTTGTGTGTGTGGTGGACGAGCCAGTTTTGTGTGCGTGAGAGAGAGAGAGCGACGCGGTCCGGAGATCGTTGTTGGTTAGCTTCTGGTGCTAGGCGGACGGCTAGCTCTACGGAGGTATTAAGGAGTTTTTTCACAGCAAGCTGGGAGGAGAGTCCTCTCGCGTCAGAATGAGAGTCAGTGACGCTAAGGAACTCATCAGTGTTATCATCAACGTGGGTCCTCAAACGGGTTGGTTCACACCTATGTAAACAATTATTCTTTCAGAGGCATTGTTTATATGATCATTAAAGTTAAATAAAAAAATAAGAGATATAAATGAAAAACAGGTATGAAATACTTACTCGCTGATATTGTAAAATATCCATAAAGAAAAAGTAAATCTGTTTCCAGTTCTGTGTTGAGAGATGTTTCCATAGATCTCTTCATGTTGCTCTCAAAGTGCCCCAGATTGATGCTTTAAACTTCAATATTTAAAAATAAATCTTCCCGGGCGAGCTTGCCCCCAGACCCCCCTATGTGAGGTCCACACACCACCTATAAAAATAGCACTTTACCCCTGCTTACACCTATATGCCGTGAGCTGATTATCGAGCCTTCATTGTAACAGTCGCGGGTACGTTGTGTATTTGTGTGGGGAGTGTTGCAGTAGAGCATTCCTCTGTAGCGACCGGTACATTAACGGGAAACCCTAAATGTTTGAGCACCCTCTATGAAACGTCAAGCTACCCCACAGCACCCCCAAAAGAAATCTCTGGCGTCGCCACTGAGCCTGACTGAGGGTTCATATATATTATTTTCTCTCCTCAGGTTCTGGCCGAGTCCAACCCGTCCCGGTTCTCCTTCCTCTTCCGGTTCTACGACGAGCTGTTCCTGTTCCTGGACCTGATGCTGCAGAACCACTTCCTGTCCGTCAGCAGCGCCTCCTTCTCAGAGAACTTCTACGGCCTGAAGAGAGTCTGCTCCCCGGCGGCAGGAAGTCCCGCCCCCCGGCTTCCTGTCTCTCTGTTTCTGAGCAGGAAGTCGCACTGGCGCTCTCTCCTCCTGCTGTGCGTGGCTCCGTACCTGAGGGTCAAACTGGAGGCGGTTTTGGCGCGGCAGCGAGACGAGGAGGACTTCTCCATCCGACTGGATCAGAGCCGGGTTCAGAAGATGAGGCGGGCCGTTCTGGTTCTGTTTCCCTTTGTGGGCGGAGCTTGGAGAGGAGCAGCTTTCATTCAGCAACTTCTCTATCTGTTCGGAGCAACGAAGACCCAGAATCCTTTGCTGTGGCTCGCCGGCGTCCGACTGGCACGACTCAGTGGAGACGATCTGAAGGAGCTGGAGCTGAGGAGCAGGAGAGAAGAGAGGCTGGAGGGGGGCAGGTGAGAGAGAGAGAGAGAGAGTGTGTGTGTGAACAAGCCATCCAGGTCAACATACACACATGAACACTTTTAGCAACCTGTGTTATCCTGACCAGAATCTCTTACTGTTATTCTACTGAGTGTATGAATAAGGAGACACTTTGACATACTGCTATTTCATAATTAAGGTGTTTTTGTTCATGTTATGTTGGTGGATGGCTGTGTTTATGCTCCTGTTGATTATTTGTGTTGTTGCATTTTTATTCAGACAACTCCACATATTTTTCACAATTTACTTTGTCATATTTTTATACACATGTATGTTTCTTTAGATTTTATAATCATCATTATTTTATTTTTAAATATTATTATCTTTGTTATTAGAATTGTTTTATATTATGAATATGATCATTATTATCATTATTATTAATGCATTTGTATTTAAGCTTTTTTTGTTGGTATCCCTTGTTGGGACAGTTCATCCAGAGCGTGCCGGTTACGTTCCTCTACGTCCTGACGTCACAGGGCGGAAGTGCAGTTTGTTGTTGACAGCGCTGCAGCATGGCGTGTTTTTAGCGTCAGAACTAAACGGAATATTAACTGTTTTAAATCTTTAAAGATCCTAACACCACCATGGAGGAACACAGAGAACACACACGTGGAGTTAGATGAGGAAACCGGAAGTAGTCGGGAAACATTAGCTACACAGAGCTAACTTCCGGCTAGAAGCTAACAGCTAACAAAGGTAAATAAAGATATGTTTAGTTTGAAAACATGCAAGCTGCACAAATACTGCAGAACAACAAGCTGTGCTACTCTCACTCACACTGAAGTGTCTTTGGGTGCAATGTGCACTTTGATTTGAGTGATATTAGTCTCAGTTTGTTGAGTTTAACTACTGACTTCTGTTTATTGAGGTGATATTGATCTGTACCTTTACAGGTGAGTGACTGTCTCTCAGACTTCAGTAATAAGAAAGTCACGAGGAGAATCTGTGGTGAAAAGTACAAGTAGTTCATTTTTGTATTATATGCAAGTGCTATTTTAGCATACTTTATTTGTGTATTTCCCTTTAAGCTATTGTACATGTTGTACATTGACTTCACACTTGGGAACGTCAACAGGAGAGACATTGCTTATGCATGGGTCAGTGACACAAACAATAAACTACACAACAATATTTTCACATATTGGCCCAAAAACTTGCATTTCTGTTAAAACTGCAGCAATTCTGAAATATGAAATACTTTTCATATTTTAAAACTATGTCCTTGTTGTAACTTTTGTAAACTTGTAAATGTTCTTATGATATATTGTTTTTTTTAATTGCTCCTTTTTTACAACTAATTTCCTCTTCCGATACGATATTACTTTATTGGTCAGATCAAGTCTGAAATTTGACTTGCGTCACAGCAGCTCCATGTCCAACATCAACAGACAAGTATCCAGACACAATACATGAAACACAAACAACAAACATTTAACATAACAGCAGGATCAGTGAGAGACAAGCTGCTCAAAGAGCCTTCAGCGTGCATCTGATCTGGGATCAGCTCTGTATTTACTGTGAGGATTGACTGATGCACAAAGGATGCTTCAGTCTGACCTTATTGAATGGTGGGACCCTGTATCTCCGGTTAGATGGTAGCAGTTCATACTCAGTGTTCAGAGCATGGTTTGGGTCAGAGATGATGTGGTTGGACAGCCTCACTAGGTTGTTATGATGAGTCATAGAGTCTCTGACAGGTGGACCAACAATCTTTGAGCAGATTTTGAACAGGTGGAGCAGTTTTGATTTTAAAGCTGCTGACAAACATTTGTACCAGGTATTAATGCTGCAGAATAGACATGATCACAGATGTGAAGAACAACAGAAGAATTTCTCTGCTCGCCCCAAAAGACCTGAGACGGCGGAGAACATTAATTCTTTGTTTGTCCTTTTGCTCAGATACTCAATGTGATCCTTCCATGACAGCAGACGGTCAATCATTACTGTGTTTATGTTTGCTTCGTTATTCACCTGAGCAAAGTGCTTGTATGTCTGCGCCTTCTTCCCCAAACTAACTATCTCTGTGTCTCCCTGCAGCATCATGGCAGAGGCGGGGGCCCACCTGACCTCCTCAGGGTCCTCAGTGAGCGAGCAGCCGTCAGTCTTTGAGGTTCTGGCTCAGGAGTCTCTGATGGAGGCGGTCCGCCCGGCGCTGAGGCACACCGTCAAGGTGAGGGGGGAAGGGGGGGGCACGCCGTCAAGGTGAGGGGGAGGCACGCCGTCA